TGAAGGTGTGAGGAGAAGGGGACGACAGAGGATGAGATGTTTGGATGACATCACCGGCACAATGGACATGAGTTTGAGTAAACTCCAGGAGTTGGTGATGGACGGAGGCCTGGCATGCTGCAGTCCATGGGGTCACAAAGAGTTCGGACACGACTGAGCAACTGAACTGAACTGAACTGAACAGACTGGAGAGGCTTGGATTTAGGGGACACTGGTTTTCTCTCCTCCCTTGGAATATGCGTGTGTGTGTGCTTCAGTTGTGTCTGACTCTTTGCGACTCCATGAACTGTATAGCCAACCAGGCTCCTCTGTCTATGGGACGCTCCAGGCAAGAATACTGGAGTGGGTTGCCATTTTCTTCTCCAGGGGATCTTCCCAAGCCAGGGATTGAACCTGGGTCTCCCTCACTGCAGGCAGATTGTTTACTGTCTGAGCCACAAAGGAGGCTTTTAAATGGGAGAATAGCAGGACTTGACTTACAATTTTACTTTTATTTGTTAAACTACTTATTTACTTGGCTGTGTCAGGCCTTAGCGCAGCAAGCAGGATCCCCGATCTTCGTTATGGCATGATGGATCTCTAGTTGCAGCATGTGGGGTCTAGTTCCCTGATCAGGGATCAAACCCAGGTGCCCTGCACTGGCAGTGTGGAGTCTTAGCCACTGGATCACTGGAAAAGTCCCTGGTTACACCTTAAAAGACGCCTCAGGCTGCTGGGTGAATGATGGATGGAGGGGGGCAAGAGTGAAGGCAGGGACGCCCGAAGGAGCCTGGAGGGTGGACAGGGGAAGGCGCTGGAGACGGGGACTAGACTGCTGGCCCAGGGTATGGGTTTCAGATCAGACTCTTTCTTCTCTCACCCCCAGCCTCAGCCCAAAGAATTCCCCACTTCTCTGAGTCCTGCTCTGGCGTTTGTAGTCTCATCATTGCCAAAAACCATGAGCTGTGTGGAGACAAGGGGGGAAGTGATGCGTCCTGTGTTCTTAGACAGCCTGGTGTGATGAGCCAAGGTTCAGATGGATCTGGGCTCAAAAACTGGCTCTGTTACTGACTATGGAAACTTGGTGGGTTATTTCCATTGGCCTCAGTATTCACATCTGTAAAATGGGAATAGTAATGCCCTCTTGTGAAAATGCCAGCCCAACACTATACTTGCAATGCAAGCCCTCTGTTAATGCCTGCCTCTCATTCCATATTCTGCCATTCATGCTCCTGTTACCACCATACGTGAGTAGGAAGGAGGGAACCCAAAGAGCCTTTCTGAAAAGTACTGCTGTAATAAAAATGTCAGCAAAGGAAGAAAAGGAGCCGGTGCTGCTCTGACGGTGGTGACGGCGATGAATGATTTATGTCCAGCGTAATGGTTACATAAGCAGCTGTTACATTTTAAAAGCATCATGCAAACAATATGAAACATTTATTTAAGTGGTTCTACACTATGGGGAATTTGATTTAATCAGCTTTTATTTCTGTTCTCATTAGAATGAAGTCTGGCAACTCTAGTAGACAGCCCTACCTCCGTTTGGTAGCTTCCAGCTACTGAAGGCAAATATTTTTACTGTGCCACCATCAAACATTTATACAGCACCCGGCTCCCCATCTGGCCTGCAGACAGGAGGGGAGGTGTAGTGAATTCATGCCACGGAAGTCTCACACAGAATGAGGCAAGAAGCAACCCCACATCTAACAGAATTAATAAAACGTTTGAAGAGCCCTTTTGAGAATAAAAATGTGCTCTGATTCCTAACATTTGTCTGAAGTGCTGGGAGCTGTAGGCAAGTGATCTAAGGATTCTCAAGGTGGATTTTTATTCTTTGCTATTCCAGGGTGATTGGAATATTTTATTTTTGTTTTGCATTCTAAGATCATCACAACTCACAAACCATGAAAGATGTAAAAGGATCCTCTGAATATGATGTGATTTACTTGAAATTCTACCATGATTTCTTTGAATGATGTAACCAAATTTAGGGTGGGGTTCTCCTGGGAAGAGCTTAGGGAAGGGTATATAAGGGTGTATTTCTTTGTTGTTGTTGTTGTTGTTCTACTGCATTGACAATATTTTATTTCTTAGGGTGGTGAATATCATGAATATTTTGTATAATTCTGTAGATCTTTTTGTATGTCTNAATGAAAATGAAAACACAACAACCCAAAACCTATGGGACACTGTAAAAGCAGTGCTAAGGGGAAGGTTCATAGCATTACAGGCTTACCTCAAGAAACAAGAAAAAAGTCAAAAAAATAACCTAACTCTATACCTAAAGCCACTAGAGAAGGAAGAAATGAAGAACCCCAGGGTTAGTAGAAGGAAAGAAATCTTAAAAATTAGGGCAGAAAAAATGTAAAAGAAACAAAAGCGACCATAGCAAAAATCAACAAAGCTAAAAGCTGGTTTTTTGAAAAAATAAACAAAATTGACAAACCGTTAGCAAGACTCTTTAAGAAACAAAGGGAGAAGAACCAAATCAACAAAATTAGGTGTTATCTTTTATCTCCCTCCTCCAGATGATTATCCAGGTGTCACTATCTGAAATTTAATCCATTCTGTTTCCTACCTTAATCTTTTATCACATTTAGCTATCTTAAGTTCAATCTTCACAAGGATGTTTTAGAAGGAGCTAACTCTTCTACAGATGTCAGCGTCTTAACAGGAGAGATCATTAGTAGTTGGCTGAAAACTGGGACACAACTCAGTCACCTGGGGGAGTGTAAACAACTAAAGTATAAATAAATGGACTTGCAGGTCGCTCTGAAACATTTTTTAAAATCGATTAATTAATTTTTATTTATTTTTGGCTATGCTGGATCTTTGTTGCTCCGTGGGCTTTCTCTAGTTGTGGTGAGTGAGAGCCACTCTCTAGTTGCTTCTCATTGCAGTGGCTCCTCTTGTTGTGGAGCACGGGGTCTAGGGTGCTTGAGTTTCAATACTTGCGGCCCACAGGCTTAGTTACCCTGCCACGGCAGGTGGGATCTTCCTGGATCAGGGGTTGAACCTGTGTCCCCTGCATTGGCAGGAAGATTCCTCACCACTGGACCACCAGGAAAGTCCCTAGGACCCTACTTTATGATAACTGATAAATGTTCTTTCCTGCCCCTAACCCCCAACCAGAATCTAGATCTTTCTTATGTGATCCAAATAGCCTTTGCTTTTTGTACCAGATGAACTCAACTGAGTTAACCAAGCATGTTTTCTTAATGTCTCAGATCATTGTCAGGGTCCACATTGGCATAACTTTGCCCTGAAATTTGGTTGTGCGGTGATTGTACTTCTTGCCTTGACTGTGATTGGATTGAGTGTTTCAGGTAAGTGATGCAAGATCACTTATTTCTTGTTCTACTTATTCTCTTTCTTCCATAAATAGTAAAGTATGTTAACAGCTTTGGCCACCCCACACTTAGCAGAAGACTCATGAAATAAAAACAGCTACGAAACAGTGCTCTAATAGTGCCCAGCCCATATCCACTTTGCAAACCCTAGGCTTTCATATTTTTCTTTCTAATTGTTCTGAGAATCTTCATAGGGGATTTACATGTGCTCCAAGAACTTTTCTTAAAATTGCAATTATGATAAAATCTTGATAATAACAAAGAAAATAAGATTACAATTGCTTAGAGTTTCTTTTCTTTCTTTCTTTCTTTTTTTTTTTTTTTTTTTTAATGTGGACCATTTTTAAAGTCTATTGAATTTGTTACAATACTGCTTCTGCTGTTTTTATGTTCTGGGGTTTTTTTTGTTTTGTTTTGTTTTTGTTTTTTGGCCCCAGGATCTTAGCTCCCCTACCAGGGATAAAACCAGCATCCTCTGCATTGGAAGGTGAAGTCTTAACCACTGGACTTCCTGGGACATCCATACAGTTTCTTAGGTGCCTACTAAAGTCCAGATTGTCCTAGGCAATGTCTCCCATTGACAGACACAATTACACTCTTTCTGAAAATGGAACATGTAGATAGGAGTGTAAGCAATTTAAGAACTTAAGTAACACCTGGGAGTTTACTTATATAGTGTGTGTGTGAATGCTAAGTCACTTCAGTCATGTCTGACTCTTTGAGATCTTAAGGACCATAGTCCTCCAGGCTCCTCTGTTCATGGGATTCTCCAGGCAAGAATACTGTAGTGGGTTGCCATTCCCTTCTCCAGATTACTTATATATTAGATGCAAGTAACTCAATGTTTCTCTGTGTTTACTTATGTGTTTGTTTATTTTGTCTTCTAAGCAGACCCATTGCTACTACATTGCTATTGCTCTTATCTTCTGCTCATTTCAAGCTTGTTGAGATAGTACAGAGATGACAATTTCCTGAAGTGATAAATATAGCATATCCATTTCATTGCACCTTTCAGCATTTTATCTTAACGGTGTTTCTTTATTTACCAGTGATATTCATAAGACAAAACACATCAATAGAAAAAACCAGCATGGATGCTCAAGAGAACAGGAAGGAAGCAACAGGTATATCTTGTGGCTTGAATTTTCTAAGACTAACATCTAAAATTTGATAGTTATCATTGTATTATTTTCATTAAGGCTCATTACAACCCATATGTTAAGATTAGTTTTATCACTATGGTTTTATATTTGACAAAGCTGAGGCATGGAAAAGTTAAGCAACTCATTTGGGATCATACATGTGCTAAGGGAGAATTGTACTTCAGTGGTCTATCGTCAGATCCTATGATCTTAACTACCAGATAATACTGACTTATGAGTACTCCAGCTAGGAGAGTCAATAATTATTAGTCAAAATCCAAGCTATAAAGTAAAATATACATTAAGTGAGATATTTAGTGATTTTAATATGTCAGGCAGCTAACCTTTGACTGAAGCTAATGACTGGAACACAAACATGAAATGAATTCTTTAATATGTATTGTATTAATCATTACGATATTGATCTTGTCCTTATACTTACTAAGCAGTGTGTGTTAATACTCTGTTGTTGAGAGACTGTAGCAGAATGTGATCATTTATTATATACATTTGTACAGAAGAGAAATTTTAAGAAACTGAGAATATCCCTCAAAAAATTCTATCCAATAAATCTCATTATTAGGCAAATATCTAATTTAGCAGTTAGAAGCTTCCTAATAACTTTTCTCCATGATATTTCCAATTAATTGTGGGTATGAATTCTTTTTCATTTTACATGTTGTTTCAAGTAGACTTTTTTTTAAGAGAGTTTGATATAGTTGTCCATGGAGTAGGAAGAGCAATGATAAGGAATTTAAGGAATCTCAAAAAGAGTTTTGGCTCTATCACCACCAGCTTGTGTGGAATTGAACAAGTTATTCTGTCTGTCAGTGTTTTAGCTGGTCACTAATTTTCAAATCTTAATAGCAGAGTGAACAGTGGTCTCAAAACCCTCAGTTATATTAAATTCATGAATTGTTCTCACAATGATGATCAAGGACTTTACTGAGTTTATAATGACTTGTATGACATCCAACCAGTCCATCCTAAAAGAAATCAGTCCTGAATAGTCATTGGAAGGACTGATGTTGAAGCTGAAACTCCAATATTTTCACCACCTGATGTGAAGAGCTGACTCATTTGAAAAGACCCTGATGCTAGGAAAGTTTGAAAGTAGGAGAAGAAGGGAGCGACAAAGGATGAGATGGTTGGATGGCATCACCAACTCAATGGGCATGAGTTTGAGTAAACTTCGGGAGTTGTTGATGGACAGGAAGGCCTGGCATGCTGTAGTCCATGGGGTCACAAAGAGTTGGACACGACTGAGCGACTGAACTGAACTGAACTGTGTATGTGTGGTTATTGTTAGTGGGGCGGGGATAGGTTAGAAATATAACATTCATTTCTTTTCTTCCTCTTTCTTACTTTATTTTTATTTTCTGTCTTCTTTCTTACTTTAGAGAGACCAGTTCTGTTAACATGCCCAATGCACTGGCAAAAAATCCAAAATAAATGTTTGTATTTTCATGAAACTTCCAAATCTTGGAGTGATAGTCTAGCTGACTGTTCCACAAGAGAATCCAGTCTACTGCTTATTGAAGATCAGGAAGAACTGGTAAATAATTATTAATAAGTAAAATACTTTAATACAACTCAGCACTGGCTTCTAATCATATCAAGATTTTTGTGCTCTAGTCTTGAGGGTTCTATGAAGATGGAAGTATTAACCTTGACTTCAAGGAGGTCACAATCTGAGAGACTAAATGGACATATAAGCAAAATAAATATTATTTAATAAATACAAAAATATAAATATTTGGATATATAAATGAATGGGATAGAAACATCACAAGTAAGGAATAATTAACTCCAATGGGGTATCAGGAAAGGCTTCATAGAGGAAATGATACTTGAACTGGGTTTCAGAGGATGAATAGAAGAATGCAAACCAGGAATAGAGAAAACGGATTTACGTGTTCATGGATTGGAAGAATCAATATTGTCAAGATGGCTATACTACCCAAAGCAATCTATAGATTCAATGCAATCCCTATCAAGCTACCAAAGGTATTTTTCACAGAACTAGAACAAATAACTTCACAATTTGTATGGAAATACAAAAAACCTCAAATAGCCAAAGTAATCTTGAGAAAGAAGAATGGAACTGGAGGAATCAACCTGCCTGACTTCAGACTATACTACAAAGCCACAGTCATCAAGACAGTATGGTACTGGCACAAAGACAGAAATATAGATCAATGGAACAGAATAGAAAGCCCAGAGATAAATCCACGAACCTATGGTCACCTTATCTTCGACAAAGGAGGCAAGGATATACAATGGAAAAAAGACAACCTCTTTAACAAGTGGTGCTGGGAAAACTGGTCAACCACCTGTAAAAGAATGAAACTAGAACACTTTCTAACACCATACACAAAAATAAACTCAAAATGGATTAAAGATCTAAATGTAAGACCAGAAACTATAAAACTCCTAGAGGAGAACATAGGCAAAACACTCTCCGACATAAATCACAGCAGGATCCTCTATGACCCACATCCCAGAATTTTAGAAATAAAAGCAAAAATAAACAAATGGGACCTAATGAAACTTAAAAGCTTTTGCACAACAAAGGAAACTATAAGCAAGGTGAAAAGACAGCCCTCAGATTGGGAGAAAATAATAGCAAACGAAGCAACAGACAAAGGATTAATCTCAAAAATATACAAGCAACTCCTCCAGCTCAACTCCAGAAAAATAAATGACCCAATCAAAAAATGGGCCAAAGAACTAAACAGACATTTCTCCAAGGAAGACATACAGATGGCTAACAAACACATGAAAAGATGCTCAACATCACTCATTATCAGAGAAATGCAAATCAAAACCACAATGAGGTACCATTACACGCCAGTCAGGATGGCTGCTATCCAAAAGTCTACAAGCAATAAATGCTGGAGAGGGTGTGGAGAAAAGGGAACCCTCTTACACTGTTGGTGGGAATGCAAATTAGTACAGCCACTATGGAAAACAGTGTGGAGATTTCTTAAAAAGCTGGAAATAGAACTGCCATATGACCCAGCAATCCCACTTCTGGGCATACACACCGAGGAAACCAGATCTGAAAGAGACACGTGCACCCCAATGTTCATCGCAGCACTGTTTATAATAGCCAGGACATGGAAGCAACCCAGATGCCCATCAGCAGACGAATGGATGAGGAAGCTGTGGTACATATACACCATGGAATATTACTCAGCCATTAAAAAGAATTCATTTGAATCAGTTCTAATGAGATGGATGAAACTGGAGCCCATTATACAGAGTGAAGTAAGCCAGAAAGATAAAGACCATTACAGTATACTAACACATATATATGGAATTTAGAAAGATGGTAACGATAACCCTATATGAAAAACAGAAAAAGAGACACAGATGTACAGAACAGACTTTTGGACTCTGTGGGAGAAGGTGAGGGTGAGATGTTTCAAGAGAACAGCTTCGAAACATGTATATTATCTAGGGTGAAACAGATCACCAGCCCAGGTTGGATGCATGAGACAAGTGCTCGGGCCTGGTGTACTGGGAAGACCCAGAGGGATCGGGTCGAGAGGGAGGTGGGAGGGGGGATAGGGATGGGGAATACATGTAAATCCATGGTTGATTCTTGTCAATGTATGACAAAACCACTACAATATTGTAAAGTAATTAGCCTCCAACTAGTAAAAAAACAAAAAAAAAAATTCCGTATAAAAATGAAAAAAAAAAAAATGGTTTCAAATTCAGTCATTTCTTCTGTTTCATTTATAGAGACTCATACAAAACCTGATAAACAAAAAAGCAATTCTCTTTTGGATTGGATTAAATCTTACATTATCAGAGAAGAACTGGAAGTGGATAAATGGATCCTTTTTAAATTCTAATATGTGAGTATTTGATAAGCTAATTTGAATATTCAATTTGTATCAGGTTTCCAAGGCAAGATAGTAACATTGCTATTGAAGACTGAGATTTATAGTTTTAATTTAGTTTAGAAATTTTCAAAAGAAGCAGTATAGTCTGAGAAGAAGAATGATTTTTGATGTTTATTGAAAATTTCCATATATGAAAAGACATCAACTCTTTGTCACAATGTGTATTTTTACTTGCAGTGAAGTTTTAGGAAACAGGGGATAGACCAACTCTCTTGAGAGGGACACCAAAAAAAGATTTTTAAATAACAAAATTTAAAAATAAATAAATTTCTAGCTGGACACTATTGGGCAAAGAATTTTTGTGCCAATATTATTAAATACAAAGGACTTAAGTAGAACTTTTCTAACTGTGGGACCAAAAACCTTAGTAGGCCACATCCAGCATTGAAATAATGAATAAGAGAAGAAAAAATTATAGTAAATATCAGATTGTGGAATCCAGGCCTTTGAGAGAATTGACCAACTTGTGACAAATATTGTAGCCTATTTTAGTCAGTGGTGTAGAAAGACAGTTGTTTGAGGAGATGCAATGAAACAGCATAAGCCGCAAAAGAGCTATTTGCTATTTCTTTTTTTTTTTTAATTTTATTTATTTATTTTTGACTGTGCTGGGTCTTCATTGCTGCTCAGACTTTTCTCTAGTTGCTCAGAGTAGGGGCTACTCTCTAGTTGTAGTGTGTGGGCTTCTCATTGTAGTGGCCTCTCTTCTTGCAGAGCCCAGGCTCTATAAAGAAATTTTGATGAGCTTTTCAGAACAGATAATATCCTGTTATGATTTTTGAGTCTGTGAATGATTTATTTACATTTGTATGAAGTTCAGTTAAAATGGATTTTTTTTATCATTCAAAAAAATAAGATGTTAAAATTTAAGACACAGGAGCAGGTAAAAATTTGTCTAAAATAGAGTAATAATTTGTTATGTAGAAAATTACAAAAAATTGAGAGACATGTTGCTTTAATTAGCAAATTTTTATGTTGTTTCACCTATGTTCTAAAATATAATGTTTTTAAATACAGTACTTTAAAATGAATATCACTTTAAAATAAAGGGCTCTGGACAAGAATAAATGTATGAAAAGGCAAATATATTTTGTTAAATAAGATCTATTCTGATTTTTTATTTGTTTTCCAGGGATTATATTATATACTTTATTTACATATAAATGCAACTCTGATATTAACTTATTTCTATTTTTTTGAACATAGAAAAGGTTAATTTTGGTTTCTGCATGGGTATTTTTCTTATTGGGCTGTTATGTTTATTTTATTAAGGTTTATGATAAAATTGGAAATCTCTGAAGTGTCTATGTACAGAAATATAGGCAAAGTTGATGAACTAAATTCAATTAGCATTCTATTCTATTCTGAAGACTGAAAGGATGCTTTGATTAAGACAGTGATCAGGCAAACCTGAAAGGTATCATATGATAGTAGAAAGAGTAGCCATTAGACTCTGCTTTTATTTAGTTCTCTACCCTGATTTTCAGGTAATGAAAAACACAAGCAGTAATAATTTTTTTCACCACTTTGGGGATTAAAGAAGATAACACTAAAGAACTAGGCAGAGATCTGGTCAAAGAAGGCCTGGGAAGTCACTGAGGGTCTTTTGAAAAAGGGCTTGGTCAAATGAGCATTTAAAAAGTTATCTTGAAATTTGAAAAGTGGGACCAGAAGGGTGAAAGAGATAAAATACAGGGGACTTTTGCTATTACTCGCTTGAAAGAAATACTGATAGACTAGTGACTAGAGTGTCAGGCACTAGGAGGGAAGCAGGTTGACTTCTCAGGGCCAAGGGGCTTTATGAAGAAATGGAACAAAGAAAATCTGTGATGGATCCCTGCCCACCGTACCACTTGACTTTCAATTTAGGACAAGCAGGTGAACGTCTTGCGCATACCCGCTCCTGGCACGCCAGTTTTCATTGCCACCCCGTTCTTTGACTGCTACTCACATCCCACCTGCAATGAGCCACAAAACTCCTGCGTCTCTGGAGCTAATAGAACATGTATCACAATAGACACTCGTGAACTGTTTGGAATGGGGAACAAGGAACCTTCTACTACATACAACATGAACTGAGCCTCCTTTTCTGGCCACATTCAAATTCCGACACCCTGTGTATCTATCTGCGTACTTACTACATTTCCTGAGCACATACTCTGTTTAAGCCTGATCACACTTTTATAGTTATCCTCTCAATGCCTCCCCAAGTACTAGGTGGTTATATCCTAAGTATTTAGAAAAATTAAAGTTCAGTGAAAACAAGAACTTTTTCATGTGACATGTTAATAGGAGATTCAGTTTCCAATTTTCAAAGCTTCATTTTGTATATATCATGATGAAATTTCCATTTAGAATGCTTCTCTTCCAGTGAAGATGAACTTGCAAGTTCCAGGTGTTTATATTAGCTTGCTATTAAAAGTTTATATCTGTGACTGACTGTGTAGTTATTATTGTTCAGTTGCTAAGTCATGCCCAACTCTTCATGACCCCCATGGACTGCAGTTCCCCTGGTTTCTCTGTCTTCCAGTATCTCCCAGTTTGCCCAAATTCATGTCCATTTGAGTCAGTGACACTATCTAACCATCTCGTCCTCTTCCTCCCCCTTCTCCTTTGGCCTCAGTCTTTCCCAGCATCAGGGTCTTTTCCAATGAGTTAGCTTTTCCCATCAGGTGGCCAAAGTATTGGAGCATCAGTCCTTCCAAAGCTTCAGCATCAGTCCTTCCAAGGAATATTCAGGGTTGATTTCTTTTAGAATTGACTGGCTTGATTTGCATGCAGTCCAAGGGACTCTCAAAAATCTTCTCCAGCACCACGATTTGAAAGCATCAATTCTTCAGCACTTAGTCTTTTTATGGTATAAATTTCACATCAGTACATGAGTAATGAAAAAACCAGAGGATGGTGTTTCAGGGACCTAGTCTGCTACCACGTCGGTCCACAGGTGATACTTTCCTATTCCTGGCCTCTACACCTCAGTTTATTAGCCTGTCGTCAGCAAGCAGATCGAGCTTGGACTCAACGGAGAGGAGGAACACTAAGAGGTATTTCATGCATGGGGTTTGTAAGGAAGGAGATAACTGTCGCTACTCACACGACCTCTCTGACAGTCCATATGGTGTAGTGTGCAAGTATTTTCAACGAGGGTACTGTATTTATGGAGACTGCTGCAGATATGAACATAGCAAGCCGCTGAAACAGGAAGAAGCAACTGCGACAGATCTAACTGCAAAGTCATCCCTTGCTGCTTCCTCGAGTCTCTCATCAGTTGGACCGACTGTTGATATGAATATGGGCGAAGCTGAGTCAAGAAATTCAAACTTTGCAACTGTAGGAGCTGGTTCAGAAGACTGGGTGAATGCCATCGAGTTTGTTCCAGGGCAGCCCTACTGTGGCCGGACTGCCCCTTCTTCCGCTGAAGCCCCGCTGCAGGGCTCAGTGACCAGGGAAGACGCAGAGAAGGAGCAAAGCGCAGTGGAAACCAAGAAGCAGCTCTGCCCCTATGCTGCGGTGGGGGAGTGCCGCTACGGGGAGAACTGCGCGTATCTGCACGGGGACGCATGTGACATGTGCGGGCTGCAGGTCCTCCATCCCGTGGATGCCGCCCAGAGGTCACAGCATATAAAATCCTGCATCGAGGCCCACGAGAAGGACATGGAGCTCTCGTTCGCGGTGCAGCGCAGCAAGGACATGGTGTGTGGCATCTGCATGGAGGTGGTCTACGAGAAAGCCAGCCCCAGCGAGCGCCGCTTCGGGATTCTTTCCAACTGCAACCACACCTACTGTCTCAAGTGTATTCGCAAGTGGAGGAGTGCTAAGCAATTTGAGAGCAAGATCATAAAGTCCTGTCCAGAATGCCAGATCACATCTAACTTTGTCATTCCGAGTGAGTACTGGGTGGAGGAGAAAGAAGAGAAGCAGAAACTCATTCAGAAATACAAGGAGGCAATGAGCAACAAGGCATGCTGTTATTTTGATGAAGGCCGTGGGAGCTGCCCATTTGGAGGGAACTGTTTTTACAAGCATGCGTACCCTGATGGCCATAGAGAGGAGCCACAGAGACGGAAAGTGGGAACATCAAGCAGATACCGGGCCCAACAAAGGAACCACTTCTGGGAGCTCATCGAGGAACGAGAGAACAGCAACCCTTTTGACGACGAAGAGGAGGTTGTCACCTTTGAGCTGGGCGAGATGTTGCTTATGCTTTTGGCTGCAGGTGGGGACGACGACCTGACAGACTCTGAAGACGAGTGGGACTTGTTTCACTATGAGCTGGAAGATTTTTATGACTTGGATCTATAGCAGCTCGGCGGGGCGTGTGAACTGGTCTGCCGAGCCTAAGACGGCAGTGGGCCTCGGGGGGTGGCGGCCGTGCCCAGGCCGCTCTCCTAGGCAGGCCTCTCAACTCCAGGTGCTGTCGTAATCATTTTTACCCAGGGCCTGTCTTCTCACCCCCTCACCTTTCCCCAAGGAGTATGTTGTTTTCTCTGTTTGAAAAAGTTACAAAAATAAATCTGAAAGTTAGTTTTTTTGTAACATGAATTTAACTGTCAGACAGTTAGTGTAGGTTTGTCGCGTCACGTTTTACCACCAGATCCACACAGTTCGAGGGGAGCATACCTGGATTTCCAGGACTTATTTTGGAGGGCCCCAGGTTCAGAAGTACCCACACTGGCCCCTGCTTTGTGGGTCCAGGAAGCGGGGTGATGGGTGAAGGATCTGAACTGTAGCAAGTAGCCTCCTCCTGCTGTAGACTTGGGAGGCGGGTACTTGGTTTCTGGTAAAACCTGCACATGTGTGTTTTTCTATCTGGTCCCTGTCCTTCATCCCCGCCCTGTGCACTCGGCCTGTGGTTTTGGTCTTAGTCTCATTGCACACAAGTAATAATACTACTGGGTAACCAGAACCAGGTGTGAATGTATTTGAGGTTTTTACCGTCTTTAGCGTGATAGGAAAATTGTGAAAGAACACATATAAAGAGATGGGAGTGGAAGAAAATAATTTAGAGTTGGAAGCTGACTCCCCAAGGCTCATGGACTTGGGATATGTGAGTGTGAGTGTGTGACAAGCTTCCCATCCCTGCATAGATGCAGTGTTTGTAGCCTTAGCAAAAAAACTTGGTTTAGTGGTTTCAGCCTCGTGTGGCAAATAGATCTTAAAGGACAAAGCAGTTTATTGGTAGCTGTTAATAGAGCAGTGATAGCTCTGTCTGTATAAATAGAGAAATGGGCTTAGCCATAGAAGTGCAAACTTTCTGGTTATCCCATGTATTAACACAACCTAGGGCATGGGTCCACAGTTGTGTTTAATGTTGTATGATCTCCTAGACTTCTCAGTCCAGGCACTTTCTGACAAACCTTTGTCCTCATTTGAGGCGTTTTTGGTCAGGTTTTTGTGTTCCTTTTTTGTGGGTATTTGCCTCATTCCATCCCCGAGCTTTGCAGCTAGACAGTGGGATTCAAAACTACGTTCTAAGCTGTTTCCTGTATAATGGAGTCATTGGTTGGCAGTATAGTAAGTCAGGCTTTTCCACTAAAAGGGGAAACAGAGGGTGGTTTCCACAAGATAAGCTAATGTTAAATTGTTAGAAGAATTCCTCGATCGGAAATTTTAGCTTTGCGTTTTGTTGCTATTTCCTGAAAATAACTTGGAGTTGCCCCGGATATGTCCATCGACTGCTCTGATGCCTCGGATATCACTCGTTCTTTTCACTTAAAGAAAAAAAGATAAAAACAAAACAGTAATTGTTGCAGAGGTCTCTGTATTTTGCAGCTTCCCTTTTGTAAGACGCACTTTTCCCAAATAAAACAATTTTTAAACCCCCCCCCCAAAAAAAAAGAAAGAAAAGAAAAAACCATAGCAGTGACTATACTGACATTTGCTGGCAAAGTGATGTCTTTGCTTTTGAATATGATGTCTAGGTTTGTCATAGCTTTCCTTCCAAGAACAAGGAGAAAAAAGTGAAAGTGAAAGGGTTAGTCCCTCAGTCCTATCTGAGTCTTTCCCACTCTATGGGTGTATCCTGCCAGGTTTCTCTGTCCATGGAAATGGAATTCTCCAGACAAGAATAATGGAGTGGGTAGCCATTACCTGAAGCAAGTGTCTTTTAATTTCAGGTCTTCACTCATTGTCTGCAAAGATTTTGGAGCCCAAGAAAACAAAATCTGTCACTGCTTGCATTTTTTGCCCTGCTATTTGCCATGAAGTGATGGAACTGGATGCTAAAATCTTAACTTTTGAATGTTGAGTTTCAAGCCAACTTTTTCACTCTCCTCTTTCACCCTCTTTCAGATGCTTTTTAGTTCCTCTTCACTTTCTGCCATTAGACTGTTTACTTGAAAGTGAGGTCGCTCAGTCATGTCTGACTCTTTGCGACCCCATGGACTGTAGCCTACCAGGCTCCTCAGTCCATTTACTTACCCAATGCTTAATAACTGAGCATCTCGTTGTTTCCTGAAAGTTACAGAAAATACTGGCCAGATGAGGAGAATTATGTGAGAAAGTCACAAACACTAAAGAGAGTCTTTTCTTTTGCTCCGCAGATTACCAGTTTATGGTGATGTTAAAGAAGACAACTGCGTTTGCATATCAAAGACACAATTTATTTCTGATACCTGTGCTTCAGAAAATAGATGGATCTGCCAAAAAGAACTAAAACTGCCAGATATAAAGTAATATGTTCTTCCAGTTGACCTGCCATCCCCCTCCATCTCTTTAATTTCCATTTCAGATCTCTGTCATTTTAGCTGTATATATTGTCATAGTGGCTCCATGCACATTTTGTGGTACAAAGTGAACACACACTGAGAATTCTAATTTTTGTGAATTTTACAAAAGTCCATATCTAGCCTCCTCATTCCATAACTGAAAAAACATATACCTAAAGAAAAGATGTCTCAGGGCATGTGCTCAGGAGTCGGATCACTGGATCATATGGTAGTTCTATTTTTCAGTTTTTTAAGGAACTGCCATATACTGTTCTCCATAGTGGCTGTATCAATTTAAGTTCCCACCAATAGTGCAGAAGGATCCCCTTTCCTCCACATCTTTTCCAGCATTTCTTGCTTGTAGATTTTTTCATGGTGGTCATTCTGACGGGTGTGTTACCTTTGACATAAATACACAACCATGTGTAAAATGGATAGCTAGTGGGAAGCTGCTATATAGCACAGGGAACTGAGCTCAGCGCTCGGTGATGACCTAGAGGAGTCTGATGGGGAGGGAGGTAGGCGGGAGGCTCAGGAGGGAGAGGATATATATGTATACTTATAGCTGATTCACTTCATTGTACAGCAGATGCTAACACAGCATTGTAAAATAATTATATTCTAATAAAAAGTCTAATTTTAAGAGACAGTGATGCACTATGGATAAAAGCCCAAATCAGCTAAGGGGAATGATTTCTAATTGGGGAGCTTTCATCCATCCCCCTCTGTGCCTTATCTCACCTCCAAAAAGTTTTAGTCAACATATCTAAAGTCTTCTGCTTCTTCCACAGCCTCTATTTTTTGCTTTTATGTTTTGTGGCCGAGCATTGATTAAAATGCATTCTCTGGACTCTTATATCAGAGACCTAATACTAAAGTAATTTCGGGAAGGGAATTGAACTCTTCCCCATCATTGCAAAGTCCTTTTCATTTTAATTTTATCCCTGCTTTTTTTTAAATTAAATTTTATTGGAGCATAATTGCTTTATAATGTTGTGTTAGTTTCTCAGTTCAGTTCAGTTGCTCAGTTGTGTCCGACTCTTTGCAAACCCATGGACTGCAGCACACCAGGCTTCCCTGTCCATCACCAACTCCTGGAGTTTACTCAAACTCATGTCCATCGAGTCAGGGATGCCATCCAGCCATCTCATCCTCTGTCGTCCCCTTCTCCTCCTGCTTTCAATCTTTCCCAGCATCATGGTTTTTTCTGTAAGTCAGTTCTTTGTATCAGATGGCCAAAGTATTGTGACCTCAGCTTCAGCCTCAGTCCTTCCAATGAATATTCAGGACTGATTACCTTTGGGATTGACTGGTTTGATCTCCTTGCAGTCTAAGAGACTCTCAAGAGTCTTCTCCAACACCACAGTTCGAAAGCATCAATTCTTCGGCTCTCAGCTTTCTTTATCGCCCAACTCTCACATCCATACATGACTACTGGGAAAACCATAGCTTTGACTAGACAGACCTTTGTTGGCAAAGTAACATCTCTGCTTTTTCACATGCTTTCAAGGTTCATCATAGCTTTTCTTCCAAGGAGCACAAGTCTTTTAATTTCATGGCTGCAGTCACCATCCACAGTGATTTGTGAGCCCAAGAAAATAAAGTCTCTTACTGCCTCCATTGTTTCCCCATCTATTTGCCATGAAGTGATGGAACTGGATGCCATAATCTTTGTTTTCTGAATGTTAAATTTTAAGTCAACTTTTTCACTCTCCTCTTTCACTTTCATCAAGAGGCTCTTTAGTTCTTCTTCACTTTTTGCCATAAGAGTGATGTCATCTGCATATCTGAGGTTATTGATATTTCTTCTTGCAATCTTGATTCCAACTTACCAGTCCTGTGGCCACTGCTGAGTTTTCCAAATTTGCTGGCATATTGAGTGCAGCACTTTCACAGCATCATTTTTAGGATTTGAAATAGCTCAGCTGGAAATCCATCACCTCCACTAGCTTTGTTCACAGCAATGCTTCCTAAAGCCCACTTGACTTCACATTCCAGGATGACTGGCTCTAGGTGAGTGATCACACCATCTTGGTTATCTGGGGCATGATGATCTTTTTGTACAGTGTTACTTTTTACTGCACACCAAAATGAACCCACCGTACATATATATATATATATATCCCTCCCTTTAGGACTTCCGTTCTAAACAGTGCGTTAATTACTGTTCCACGTGCTATGCACTGTCCTTTACCTTTTTGCGACCAGGTACAAATTTCGGGAAGACAATTTTTCTACCAACCAGGGAGGGGGATATGTTTCAGGATGATTCAAGTGCATGATATTTATTGTACATTTGTTTATTTACTTCTATATTATCATATCAACTCCACCTGATTTTACATCAGATCATCAGGCATTAGATCCACAATGTTGGGGACCCTGCCATACTGTATATCCTCATTAGTTATCTATTTTATATGTAGTATCAATAGTGGATATATGTCAATCAAATCCCTCATTTCCTCCCACCAACCCCTTTCTCCTTTGGTGTCCACACGTTTGTTCTCTATGTCTGTGTCTCTACTTCTGTTTTGCAAATATGATCACCTGTACCATTTTTCTAGATTCCACATGTATGCATTAATACAAAATTTATTTTTCTCTTTCTGACTTACTTCACTTTGTATGACAGTCTCTAGGTCCATCCATGTCTCTACAAGCAATCCAACTTTATTCCTTTATATGACTAAGTAATAGTCTGTTGTAAATATGTACCCCATCTTCTTCATTCACAATTCTGTTGATGAACATTTAGGTTGTTTCTGTGTCCTCACTACTGTAAATAGTGCTGCTACACACATTGTACTGCATGTATCTTTTTGAATTATGATTTTCTCTTCAATGCTTTTTGATTTTTCTTCTATGTTTGCTTCTTTCTATGGTTCATGCTATAGGAAATATGTAATCAAAATTTTCATTGCTATCGTGGAAAATGTGATTTTTTTTTCCAACTCCACAGTTGGGGAAGCTAAAGTTACAGAAGAGAATCTATTACAGAAGAGAATCTACAGAATCTATTCTGATAGATCTCTTGAGTATTCAGTTTAAAAAAAAACACACATGCCAAATTTTCTATGGAAATCAAATAAATGGTAATATTGAATTTATCCTTTAAGGAGATGCATAATAAAATTCCTAAAAAATAGATATCTACTTACTCCAGTAAGTCAGTGCCAACCTGAATCATATAATTCAAATAATAGTATAATGACCGAAATAAAATTTTAATTTCTGCTTTCCATGCATGTTGATTTATAATAATTATTAATATAATATTTTGAACACATCAAAAATTCAAAGTATAATTCATTTTGTGCCAATTACGTAGGGAATATCAATAAGTTTTTAGAAAAGCTTCTAGACAAGAGTATCATTACAAAGTAATATATGATAAAAAGTGAGATGTTTGAAATGTTTGATACTTTGGGGGAAAAGATCTGTAAAGAACAGATACTTTAGAAAATATGTTCCCACAATTGACAATATACATTCCTACCTCCTTGGAATGACGTTCAAAGCAACCTTCTAAAGCAGATCAGGGTAAAGCTAACTTCATTCTCCTATACTTCTGAGATCTAAAATCAAGCACCCCTAAAGCACACATCTGTACGAACCTTTTACAATGAAACTAAGCCCAAGAAGTTAGGTCCTTGCACTGTCATTTGCTATTACACTATTAGATAATCACATGAATTCATTCTTGGATATGATAAGGCTGAGGTCATCTCTGAAACTCAACTATAAAGATGCAATTCCAGGAGGAAGGCAAGTCTAACCATATTCTAGACAGATTAAAAAATATCAGATAAGAGAATTTTTTTTTTTTTTAAGTCATCTGTATTTGTTACAACTTTTTAAAGCAGAATGTGACTTGAACACTACATTTCCATTCACAAAACTTGCTCCAAGTTACTTTTCCAGCGGCTTCACAACATGCCTGAGCAGGCTTAATTTTTTTTTTTAATTTGCAGTATTTGAGTCAACGTTTCCTGACAATAAACTCACTACAAAGCCAAGTCATGTCAACCTATTATGTCACTCAGGATTGGCCATCTACACTTCCTCTGTGAAGCCCATGCTTCAGATGCAGGCTCCGGACCACTCTCCAAACACATCCTGATGTTTTAGGATTTCACTTTTGTCCCATATGTGTGACAGACTCCTTTCATATAATCCTTTTATTCTTTGCCTAGAAAAAGCCTAGGAACTGTAGAAAGCATGAATTGAATGTTCATTTCTTTCTGAACTTTCCCTCAAATCTCTCTGGTTCTCACCATTTTTAAACTTTTTCTCCCCACTTTTCTAAAACAGGATTTAGTTTCTTCTTTGCTATGATATAATTAATCTTCTTTATGATTGTAAGACTGGCTCTGCTTCTCTCCTGGCTAAAGTTGGACAAATACGATAGAACAATGAAGGGAAGTCTATGATTCAATTACAAGAGTAAGGGCATAACAATGGTCTATTTATGTTGCACTGAATCATCCTTGAGACTGGACCAGTGACATATCTTCTGTTTATTTTCTATGCCATGTGCTTGAATTTGAAATTCATTTCCCACTATTTTACCTTCCTGTTCTACCCACTGACAGAGCTCCTCAATATATAGAGTGTGTGTGAAAGCAGGTATCATGGTTAACATATATACACTATTATGTGTAAAATAAATAGCAAGGACCTGCTGTATATCCCTTTGCTGTACACTGGAAACTAAAACAGCATTGTAAAGTAACTGTATTTCGATTTTTTTTTAAATCAATTATCATGGAGAAAATTATACTGGGAAAAATTAAAAATAAAACATAGTGCATTAGTCTAGCTTTTTTTAAGCCATTTTTTCCAATCCATGATGTGTTAGTAGCCACCAATCAAATTCTGTTCCTTTAAAATGCAGATATGAATAAACAAGGATAAGTTTTTACTTTCATACCAAGCAGTGTTGGGAAGGAAAATCCAAAAGTACTGTGATGAACATTGGGGTGCATGTGTCTCTTTCAGATCTGGTTTCCTAGGTGTGTATGCCCAGAAGTGGGATTGCTAGGTGAAGTAAGCCAGAAAGATAAAGACCATTACAGTATACTAACACATATATATGGAATTTAGAAAGATGGTAATGATAACCCTATATGCAAAACAGAAAAAGAGACACAGATGTACAGAACAGACTTTTGGACT